GCGCAGCCTTGGCTACTGGCAGCTCCATCCTGGAGCTGGCTGGCATTGGCTCTGTTGGACACAGGGGAAGCTTCTGACAGCTTCCCAGAGAAGTCACCCCTGTAGCCCCCCAGTAACAAAACCTTGCTGTGCAAACCCACTGCAATACTAGTGGTCCCCTTTGATACTGTGGAACAGCATTAATTTCTCCTTTTGTTTTTTATATGCAGGCATGGGCAGATGATGTCAGGAGATTTCGGAAAATGTTCAAGTATCCAGTTTCTACTGAGCTAGTGGTCATCGTTGGGAATCATGACATTGGATTTCATTATGAGTAAGTCTTGTCAGTGAAAGGAGTACCCAAGTGCCAAGAATGAATGTCAGCATGCATACAGTAACTGGTTTTGTGTCTGAGCGACCTGTTTTGTGGTTATATGGAAAGTTTTTGATCATTATTTAATCAGAAAGGATTGTAATTTAGGGTAAGACCTTAAAAGACATCCACCTGTGCACAAAACAGGTTTCAGGCTACTTTTATGCTTCTGTGATCATATGAGAAGTTGTTCAGAGCTGATCTTTCTGTGTTGGCTTGGAATCCTTGTGTTGGGCCTCCTTGTCAGAAAAGTGTTTAGTGGGAGCTATTTCCTTTCCTGTTATCTCGGCATAGAAGAGTGTGAGTGCCCTCGTTCTGCTGTGCTTGCCCTGATGGGACTGGGAAAGAGGACATGAGTGGTGTCAGAGCATCCCTGTGAGTTTGCTGAATGAATGTGTGAGCTGGATAATGGAGCAGCAAGATGAATGAATGACCAACAACCTGTAAAGCAACTGTGTCAGATGAGTTCCAATGCCAATTTCTTACCTCAATTGTATTTTTGCTCTGTGACACAGAATGACTACTTACAAGGTAAATCGATTTGAAAAGGTTTTCAACTTGACTTCAGGAAAGCTAATAACTCGGAAAGGAATAAAGTGAGTATATTTAAATTTTTTTCAATGTTTAGAGCAGCGATTAGTGAGCTAGCAGACCAGTGATAAAAACCAGAAGTGGAATTTCTAATGAAATAGTATGGGGAAGCTTAACTTAGAGCCTTTTTAATCATCTACCTTATGATATGTTAAACCCAAAACACTTTGTACAAACCAGTAGTTTGATATACAGTGGAAGCTGTACTTTGAGATGGGTAAATTGTAACAATTTCCTTTTAAATGGAAAAGTATTGTGGAGCCAGAATCCATTTCTCTGGTTTGCCTTTTTACTTCCTTGCATCTGGTAATGAGCCATGGCTGTAAACATAACAAAAGGATTCATAAAGAAACACAAACCAACTTCCTCTGTGTTTACAAATTAAAAGTTTCATTAATTTTAATAACTTCTTTAGTCTGCAGAACTTAACTTGTTTGAGGAATTTGGGAACATAGCAGTTGCTTTTCCACTGTTTTCCACAGGGTGGGGTAATAATGCACAAGCTGATTTTGGCTTGGAGTAGAGTTTCAGAGTTTGTTCTCACAGATGTGTGTCCGTGGCTGCAGTTATCTGCTGTGTGCCCTGTTACCTTTAGATACCATGCAGGAGTTCGACGAGGGAAACCAAGAGTGAGTTTGTGGAAAGGTGTTTGTCTTTAAAGCTCAGATATACGAGGGGAAGGCCCCCTGCCACTCTGCATTTGGCATGTGTCATATGGTTGTAATCACTCGTGTAAATGTGAGATTCAAAACTTGCAGTTCCTTAATTAAGCAAATGTGAAAAATATTCTCAACAGGTCTAGAAATGGTTGTGTCTATTTTAGGAAGATCTATGAGCTTCATGCATGCTCTCTGTAAAGCTGTAGTTTATCATGCAGATGTGGGGTCCTCTAGATATGTATTTCAGCTGTTGTAAAAATAATTATTAAGGAACATCTCCACATCCCCTTTGATAAAACAGAGCAGTGCGTGTAGTTACAGACTGTATGTTTGGTATCATGTTCATTAACTGAAATGAGGTGCACTATTAATGAAAAGTTCTGAGATAAACTATTTTACAACAAATGTGTGGTATAAAAGCTTAATTTGCTAAGAGAGAATAACTGGTTTTTTTTGTATTGACTAGTATCTCTTAAGTGAAGGCATTCAGCTCATTTGTGTCTGTAAAACATACTGAATTGAACTGGAATATATCTCAGATCCTGAATGTGTGACTAAATGGGTATGAATCTTCTGGCAGAAGTTCAAAGGTGATTTGAAATCTACAGGGAAACCTCCTATTACACATACAATCCTGTTTTCTGTGCTAGAGACTGCAAAGTGCGAAACTACGTTTGTTCAGGGTAGCCAGCCAAATGCAGTGTTGTTTTGCTTTTCAGTTGTTCTGAAAAAACTGAATGTCTGAAATTCTGTCTCTGACGTCTAAAGTGTGTGTGGGGAGAAAAGCGAGTTCTCCTTTCCCTTAGAATTCAGCTTAGTGACGAACTTCTAACATTCCACGAGAATACCACTTGAATATCCGTTAAAATGTGAAAATATCTTGATGTGTAAACATGAAGCAGAAGGTATATTGTGCCACCTAATTAAGAACTGATTATAAAGCAGCCTACCAGACAGAGAAATGTCTACAGTGCAGATACTCAGAGGAGGATTTATAGCATGAGATTTCAGAAGCTGTTACATTCTGCTTTGTTGAGCTGTGTCCAACTTGCAAACACTTGCATTTTATAAAATAAAGTTTATCCAGCATGTGTGCATGAGCAACAAATGCGTTCCTGCCCTCCCCACTTCTCTTCACCCACCCCCTGGTCTTTTCCAGCTTTGTCCTGGTGAACAGTGTAGCCATGGACGGTGATGGCTGTGCTGTCTGCAGTACCTCAGAGGCAAAGCTTGTGGCACTTTCTCACAAACTGAATTGCTCCCTGCAGGTAAGAGTTTATTAAATATCTGATTACAGCCAGCAATGGGATATTGCCGCTACATAGTCACCACAGTGGGAATATTGATACTGTAGCAATAATCAGGCTAACCAAGACTCTCCTGAAAAAGATCTGTTTCCAATTCATATTGCAACTTGTTTAGCAAATCTTTCTGCTCATTTCTCTCTTACCATTTTTACCTAAGTGTTGCTTTGCACTAACGTGTTAATTTCCTTGTCAGGGTTGCCAACAGAGGGTGTCATTTCCTCTGTTCCAAAAAAAAGGCAGAAGTTCTGTAACCCTCCCTTTGATTTAAAATACATAATCCTGCATTTATGTTTATGCATATTATTCTGTTTTATAGCCTTCAAGCTAGCCTATTATTTTAGTTTCCTGATTCTATTGCAGTCCTGCCTTTATAGCCTAGTAATGTTTTAATTGTACCATTTTTTCATCAAATCCAATTGCTTCTTGTATTTCATTCCTCTTCACCTTCTCATAGGCCTACTGGACTCATAGTGGGCAGCATGACTGATGGGGCTGGCAGTCAATCAGGAAACCAGGTCCCAGTGGAAAAATTAGCAGACTGTCTCTCTCAGGCTGCCCCCAAAGTCTTTTGCCTTTGTGCAGTGAGATCCTGCTGTTGCTTTCTGCATTCAGAAAGAGCACAGCTGTATTTACAGCATATACAGAACAGGGAATTACATCACTCCACAGCAGAGACTCTCAGAAGTTCATACAGTGGATAGTGCTTAAACACTGTACTCTTAGCTGAAACTGCTTTCCCTTAAAAAAAAAAAAGGCCAACAACCACCCCCCTCCAACCCCTCAAAACCTAGTTATTGCTTAATTACCATCACCCCTTCTATGGATTAATTTTATTCACAGAAACCAAATCATTCCAACAAAAGATGCAGCAATGTGGAGGAGCTTCCAGCTTCAGAACCCATTCTTTTACAGGTGTGTTAAGAGGTGGAGGGAGGCAACATGTTGACATGGGGTTTTGTGTATTTATTACTCTTCCAGAAAGGCTGGATCATTAACAACTGGTCCTTTCTTTTAATTACTTCCAGCATTACCCTCTCTATCGGAAAAGTGATGCTGAATGCAGTGGAGAAGATTCTGCTCCTCCAGAGGAGAAGAACACCCCCTTTAAAGAAAAGTATGATGTACTGTCTCAAGAGGCATCACAAAAGGTTTGATTTATTGGGAACTTGAGTATTGGTGGGTAGGTGAGAGGGGAAACACAAGTGTAGCTATAAATAGATTAAAAACTTGTGGTAAGTCTGTTAGCTGGGACAAACTGACCACACCTCCTCCTGCTCTAATGAGGTCTATGAGAGGCTGCTTGTTAGAGCGGCTCCTCTGAGAATCGTCACGATCATGACCTTGATCCTGCTGGGTTTCCCAGGCATAGGTCATAAGTCCCAACACTCTCAAGTCTCCTGTGGTGCTGATACCTCCGCTTTACCATTTTGTACTTTCTGTACTGTATAGAATTGCTGACAAAGCTGGTAGAAAGCCACAGTTTTCCAATACTTTGAAAGCATTGTTTTTGCTGAATTAGTAACTGCAAGAAAATGTAAAGATAAGGCATTCCCTAAAAACCTAATGGTCAGTAGTTTTTTCCTTCTGCATAAATGTCTTCACTCAAGACTGTCAGTACAAAATTCTTCCTTAGACAAGAAAATAGCATTGCTTTACTAAACCCAAAATTTTTCTACTTGCGGTAGCAACAACATGTTGCCTTTGTTCTTCTGATCTGTATGGCCTAAAAAAAAAAGCCCAGTAACTTGGGATCAGGGCGAAATGGGTGTGATTAATATTGCAATACCAACACATTTCTTACTGGAAAACATAACTTTACATAAAACACTTTGTAAGAATATTGGAATTGCCATAAATTCACTCTGTTTGAAGAAAAAAAAGAGGGCTTTTTAAGTTAAACTTTTTTTAGCTGTGACTTAAGTTTTGTGCTTTATCATTTTGCGTTCTAGCTGATATGGTGGTTTCACCCCCGTTTGATTCTCAGTGGGCACACACATAGTGCTTGTGAAGTGCTGCATGCAGGGAAAATTCCAGAAATCAGCGTCCCGTCATTCAGTTGGAGGAATAGAAACAATCCTAGTTTCATCATGGTAAGTTTTAATTTTTTTTTATTTTTGTCAGATAACTTTCATAAATAAATCAACATGGCAGTCAGCTATATTTTAAAACTGATTCTACCTGTAAAAACGAAAAAATAAAAAAAAAATTGCCTACCCACCCAACCCACTCAGTACACTGCATCCACTTTATAAAGTACATCTGTGGGAGCCACATGTTCTGTGTGGTACAAAGCAATGCTGTTGAAGACCTAATTAGTATATGGGTACAAGCATCTAACATTTTCTTATAAAGAGGGTGCATTGTAAACTACTGACTTGTAAAAATAATCAGTATTGTGCACTGAACAGTAGAAAGACTAGTTTGACGTGGTTGATTTACCAACTATGAAAACAAGACTGTATCCACCTCAGACTCTTTTGCAGGGTGATGATGGTTTTCAGACTTGTGCATTAACCACTTCACGCAGTGACAGCGTTTGTGACGTGCCCACAATCTGCCTCCTCATTGCCAATTCACATTTTATACAGTGTGTTGGTTATGCTTGTGCAGGCAGTTCCAGTGCTCAGTATATCCTTAGAGGTAAATCAATTAGTTCCCAAGTTCAAAAACAAAACAGAACTCCTAAAAACTTGGAGTAAGAAGCAAAACCTACAATCTGTTTACAGAGTAGTCTGTGACTTGAGGGGGGAATCTTTTATGTATTTTTTTACTGGTGTTGAGTTTAGGCTGCTTAATACACAGATAACCCCAAACTTCTAAATTCATTTTATGCAACTGTTAATATTTGTTGTTGAAAGTAGTTCTGTTTATTCCATATTCCTGAGAGTAGCTGCCTTCAAACTACAGACATTCTCTGCACATACCAGACAGTGCATCTTCACTGCAAAACGAGAGGTTGGCTAATTAAAGTTGCATCATCTTCACTACTGTTTTAACTCCTCAGCCTCGGTCCATTGTAAACTTTAATTTGAACTGCAAAGTCAAGCCAAAACCCAATGAAGTTCTTTGTTGTTGAAGTTCACGTTTATAATTTGGATTAGCCAACGTGTTTTTTTGCAGCATGTACTGGGTAGGAGGAGGGTTCTGGAGGAGGAAGGGGCACATTCACAAAACCTAACTTTAGCTTGGAAAGGCTCCTTCCAGGTGGGTTTACAGCAGCTAAAGTTAGGCTTCTCTTGAAGGCAAATCAGATGAGGAGCCCAGGTCTCGATTTACTCTAGATGGGAAGATTGGCTTCTGGGCTCGTGTTGGCCTGGTGAATATTCCAGTTAGTGCCCAGCACCGCAAGGTATGGACTCTTCAGCCCCCTGGAGAAGGCACTGGTACTAGGAAACTGGCCCCAACCCTTGCCACCCAACATAGGATTTAGAAATTGGAGATCTGTCAGCCGTGGTGTTTCCTCCTGATTCAGAACCCACTGTAACACAGCAAAGTGACAGTCTTCATTTCTTTTCCAGGGCAGCATAACACCAACTGACTTCTCCCTCCAAAAATGCTTCCTTCCATATGAGAGCAGAGTCTTTACTATATACTGTGCAGCAGGTGCTCTGTTTGTGATCCTGATACTAGCTCATGTTCAGCTTCTCACTCCACCGTTTTATTTTGCTCAGCGTTTAATCAGTAAGCATAAAGCAGTATGAAGAGCCAGACATCTGCATTCAGTCACTGAAATACCAAAGCTGAGAACAGTCAAACATCAGACTATATTCATGCCAGCAAATGACCTAATTTGATTGCTAGTCTGAAGGCAGGTTGCATTTATACATACCATAGAAGTCCTATACAGCTGATATGACTACTACAGGATAAATAATTAACTGAAATGAACGTTTCATGCTGTACAAAAATACTGTATTCGACAATCAAATGAGTCCTTTTCCTGCTATAATTTTTGTATCAAATATGTATATTAAAAGTGTAACTGTACATTATGTAAATCCTATAGCCTCATCACTTGTCTGCACTAGTGTCTTACCCTGGTGGAGGCTGAATCCTGCAAACTGGAAACGTTTCTCTGTTTTATTGCTGCATGGCCCTTCTAATGTCATGCTTGTGTTCTAGGGTCAGGCAGAAACTAGATGCATCAGCACTGAGAGATGCTGATTTCCATAACCTTTTTAGGGTGTCATTTGTAAGGGGACTGTGGTTTGGGATGAGATCTTCTGGTTCTTGACACAGTAAATTGTTAGCTGACTGTAATTTGCAGTTATCGTCTACCAGACAACAAAGGGAAGAAGCTCATGGATCCAGTTTGCTGATACACACTTAAAACCTGCTTAAAAAAAATTAGGGTGACACCTCAAGCTGCTATTTTCAAAGAGATGTGCTATGATGAGTTTAAAAAAAGAGGGCCCTATTGCATCCCAGAGATCTGTGTGGTGAGGGGCCCTCCAGTTTCTGATCTCCTGCAAGAAGGGAGGTCAAATACAGCTGCAGTAACATTATCCTATGCCTTGGCCCTCAGTCTACGGACAGATAGGGATAGGAGTGCACGTTATTTTAGATTCCTGCAGGGCGCCAAGTCCTGTCGACTTTGTTGTAATGTCACATGTTGAACTGCACGAGAGGCCGAGGCCACCAGCTGTGCCACAGGCCCCAGCCCGGGGGTCAGCACGGAGAAGATAAAATCTGAGCTCAGCATCTTCACTGTGTGAGGGAAGGTGGACAAACCTACTGCTGCTCCCCACCTGCCCTGGAAAAAACAGAGGGACTATTTCACACCAGAACCAGTTTTCCTGCTGATGTTCCTGCAGAGGCTGGGAGCTCTAACCTGAACTTCTGGGCTGGGGATAGTTTAAATAAAAAAGACTATCTTTTGTTATTCGCTCTATTACTTTCTTTGGCATGGGAAAGAAGTGAGAGAATTTTGGGAATTTTGTTTACTATTAGCTTATTCCACCCAGCCTTTCACTTTTTGGGAAATATAACTAAATTGAACGTAACACATTTCTGGGAAGAGAAATGATCATATTATAGTATCTAAAATGGGACTGTTTTATATTTAACTAGAAACAAGTTCTCAACTGGTCTGTAGTCTGAATTTAAAAAGAGGTCTGATTGGGGTTTATAACTAATAATGATACTTACAGTAAAAAGTTAATAAAACCTACTAATTTTTATGCCAGTGTGAGGATTGTGTTAGCTATTAATCTCTCCCTAAATTTAAAATGAAATGGGGGGAATGGTCCAAAGTGTGGTAAAACACTCTATAAAGTAATGTAGTCTAACATTTCTCTTGGTTTCTGTTATTGCAACTGTAATTTTAGACATTTGTACAGGTTATCTTGGACACAGGAAAAGTATATAGTCACAGACATAAAACACCTATGTATAAAATATAAAGCAGTGTTATAGTTACTAAAAAGGACATGCCTTATTGCTACAGCAATTCTTGCTTTTTATATATTGTACTGTACCACAACTTGTTTTGAGAATGTCATTTGCATAAATTATTCAAGTTTGAGAAATATTCACACATTTTGATTCTACAATATTTAAAATAAAACAATTTTCTAATGTGTCTCTTTATTAAAAGAGAAATAAAAATGTCATCTTGTAATTCTCTTAGGCCAGACACAAGGGTTTATACACCTTTTTTTTTCTTATCTTCTTTCTTGATATTTACTTGCACAATGAAAGCTGCTGTTGGTACAAAGATTGAAGAGCTCTATATAATGGTGCTTTACACATTCACAATCGGTCTGTGCAATTGTGAAGTTCTATGAATGACCAAAGAATTACCAAACATATTTTCTAAATATAAAGGACAAAAAGAAAAAAAGAAAACTAAATCCTTGGTTCCCATTAAAACAACACCAGGTTGCAATTTGGACACTTGAATGAATTCCAATGTTTTAAAGCTGAGACTTCAAAAGAGAAAGGCATGTTTGCTGCAACATCCGGTGACTGTAATACCTTACTTGGAAAGGTAAGTGGTTAATTTGCATAATTTATAATTTTTATACTAAAGAGCATTTTTATATAAACCAGAAAAAAACCCCTAAACTCTACAGATAAAGTTCTTACCTCCAGTCACTGCTGCAGGTAAGGTTGACATCAAGCTGTACAGCGCAATCAAAAACATACTTACATCTTAGCTCATTTTACAGGTACAGCCATAATCAAGGCACAAAGATCTTCTACAAGTATTTTTCTTCAATAAAGTTGTACAAAATAATATTACATTTTACAGTCTGTACAATATAATAAACCAGCAATAAAACAAAAAAATATATATAGGGAGAGGACTGTTGTCCAAGAATGATCGGAACTAAAAGGATCATTTGTGGACAGCACAAATAACATAAGTGAGGGTGGTAAATTTTCTGCCTAGATGCAACAGGCTGAAAAGTAGCTGTAATTCAAATGCCTGAGGTGTGCAGAGACACTTAGCTCCAAAACCCCAGAAAAATTGCTTTGTCTTCACTGTTCCTCTCATTATCTACTCTACTTCCTGTGCCAGTAACGGCTTAAAAGAGGAGGTCACTTTATCAGTTGACCTGCAACTCAGAAATGCTAAAAACTGTGACAGAGTAATAAATATTGTGGTGCTGCTACATTGTGTGTCTACTTCCTCAACAGTATTTAATAACCTGATACAAAGTGCATTAATCTTTTTTTCACCCATCAAGTACTCTTCAATGTCATGTTCAAAAGGAAACCCACACAGAGGGATAGGTATGACTTTAGTGTCATCCAGCTGACATACCAGTTTGAACTGAGGTTAACCCACTGGAAAAAATTTAGCAGGTCACGTTCAGTTTAAAAAAACAAAACCTAAGGGAACAGAGGTAGCCGAGGGGCTTAGTGGAATGACGAAGAAGTGGCATGTCAAAATAAAGCACAAAAATCGTCCCAAAAAGCATGAAGGAAAAATAACCCAAACTCGCTTCAAATCAGCTTTAAGGTTAAATAATTAAAGTAAACAAAGTGAAGAGACTGACATTTCTATAGTATATTCTTCCACCCTGTGTGGGGTAGTATCAAGAGAAAGAGTAAGGAGCAAAGAATTTAAAACCACAGGTTCCACGGTGATCCCCCTCACAAGAGTTCGTACTGGCGGAGATGCATCCTTTGAATGATGTCTCGACAGTCGTTGAACACTCTGCGGATATTTTCTGTGTCCACTGCACATGTAAAGTGTGGGTAGCAATAATGCCGGCCATCTCCACTCGCTGTACTTATCCTCTGTGGAAAAGGTAAGGCAAAAAAAAAAAAGAGTCAGTTGCTGTGCCATGAGAAGTTTCACATCTCAGCAGTCTATAGACTTATGGAGAACCAAGGACCCTGGGAAATTCTCTCTATATATATCACTAAAGTAGGTAAATAAGAAGGAAAGGCTGTGATCTGGTCCAATATGAATGACAAATTTGAAATGAAGATTAAAAAAAAAATTATGGAGTTATATACTTACAGGGTCAGTATATTAGTACTTTGTGAGACCCACTAATGCCATCATCAGTTTCACATGCTATTACCATTTGCACATCACTGTGCAGCTACATCTGTGTCACTGACAGCTGTGCAGTCTGCCATGCAGCTGTCCCAGGAATTATTTTCTCTTCTTTTCTGGTGCCATCATGTGGCAAATTTTTGAACTCTTGTTTTAAATCAGCAACACAAAACTGAAAAGTTGTTAAGCCAGCAGTGGCAGAGAACAGAATCCTACTGCTTCTGCTTTTTGAAGCTGAAGGCCCCTCAAATTACCTTCACTTAGAGCACCTATTAATCCATCACTGAGCCCAGAACCTGGTGGAATTATTACCGGAGTGGCTGGGTTCCCACAGAGTAATAAAGCATGCACAAATCCAGTAAGCATGAGACCATGCAGAATTACATTTTCTCAAGGCTACTGCACAACTTTTTAGGTTCTAACTTATCCTTCAGCATCACTTCCCCCATGGTTATCTTGTTAAAATTCCCCAGGATCTTAAATTACAGAAAAAAAAAAAATCTTAATTTTGTTCTGTATTCCTATAGGGCTGATAAACATAAATCCATTCTAGATCATTATCTCGCAGAATATAGATGGAATGTTATGGAAGCAAAATGTCAGTTCTTAGGATAGTGATTTTTATAAATATTTTCTAAGTTCTATTACAAAATCACACTGGCTAAACAACAAAAGACGCTGTTTTATCTTACCCTGGCTACATTATATATTTTTAACACAGTGATTTATTTTACATGTAGGATTAACCTTTTAAATACATGCAGCTACAGATATGCAATACTATAGACATTTAGAAGTCATGATTTACATAATTAGGTCAACAAGAAATTGCAGACTTTTGCAGGTAACTTAGGTAAGATTAGATATTCAACACTGATTACACAGGGGTATTCCATACACTTTCTATAAATTATTTCCTTTTTACTATGCTACATTCAATACCTAGTTCAAGGCTTACTCTCATAAAAAATACTAATAAGTATTTGCCTGTGTTTATCATGCACTGATGTGTATGGCAATCAAATGCCCACTATGTTCTGGTGACACCTGGTTACATAAACAGCATGCCAAAGGATGTATTTTCAAAATATTAGGGGTTTGTCTATTTTTGTCACCTGACAGCTCTGTATTTCTCTTGTTTTAAGACAAAGGCAATATTTGAACCCCTACGCAAAACTCATTTTGAACAGTAGTGTGTTACTTAGCACCAGTTCAGAGGGTGAAAAAATCCAAACCCTGGGACAGCAATGAAAGAACATTCACCTTCCAAGTGGGAGTATTTAATACCAGTATTGAATACCCCTACACTGCAGCACCAGGATGGCAGTTTCCAGCGAGGAGCCATATGCATGATTCGAGGAAGCCTGGTCTGTGTGTCTGAACAGCAGCTCCTTCACCTGCCAGATTCAGATTTTTTAAAAACCAGCATGAACTAGAGTGGCCATTCCACTGTTTTAACAGGGGTTGCCTACAAACAGGGGATGTATTCAAACAAAACATCAGCAGCTGGAGAGCCCTGTGTACAAAACACCAAAATGGGGCTGAGGAGTAGCCTCAACAAGGAGTGCACAAGCCCATTGCCTCCATGAAGAGTTTGGGAGGAGAAATGATGTGCCTCAGCTAAAAGATGGAGAATTTTCTACAAGATACATTTCCAGGACTTGGATATGTGCTCGCCAGCCCAGCCCTGAAGTGCATGAGCCCTGAGCTGAGCATGTGCTCAGCCAGCCCTCACACGCTGCTCTCCTGACTGATATCCAATGGTGCCCATCTTTGCTGCCCAAGCCCCCAGCGGCCACGGGCCCCCACACCAACCCCGAAATCGGGAGCTGACGTATTTTGCCTTTCTAATACTCGTACACTACCATGTAGCAAACGTGGTCAGTTTCAACCTCCTTCTAAAATTAGCCAAATTACATGCTTTAAATTTGCCAGTACCATTGACTACAGCCAGGCAGAGTTTTAGGGGGTGCAGCACCATGGTGGTACTTTTCACATGTATCCATAGCTTATGCAGACCTGCTACCATGCCAAAAATCACAATAAAGCATAATAAACCCAGATTTCTTCGAATCATCAGACCCCTCCCAGTCTGTACCCTGAGCTTATTTTCTCTGTCCCTTTTGTAACTCCTTCTGAGACCTTAGTCTTTCTTGCCTGACCCCATGGAACTAGAAGTCACCATTTCTACTTGGCTTTCTCCCCTTCTCACTCTCTCTCGTTACTTGGGGCACACACAGCCTGCTCTGCGGGAGGGGTTGATAGCACGACTTTCAGTTCAAACAGTCCAAGAGCATAAAGCAACTGTTCGGATGACTACATCCCTCTGTTCCGTCCTGCTGAGAAACCAAGCCCAAACCCAGGAGAGAGACACACGTTATGGAGGAGATGCTCTCTGCCAAGCCTGCGGCAGTTGCAGGCAAACGAGGGAAAAGCTGTTTCAGCCCCACACTTGAGCCCCGGGGACTGCCTGGCAGGTGCTGGCCCAAGCCCAAATGCATCCCCCACCCCCAGCACCCGTGGTGGTTTTTTATGTGATTGCAATGCCTACATCCTCTCCCCTCCCCACTTCATAGGTGGCCTCCTTCTGTAATGCCAGTGAGTCATGGCAGGTAAGGACCTTGCCCTTAATGTGTTTTTTTAAATAATGAAAATAGATAAAGGTGGGGAGTTTCACCCTAGTTTCTCCATAATTCAGATCTCTTAGAGCCACCCTCCTTCCAAACTGGATACTGTCACCTGCTTCACAGTATTTCAGCATTACCACAAGACAGATTTGGCCTGAAGTGAGGTTTTTTTGGTAACTCTTATGTTAACAGTGCAATCTGACATTTTTCCTCAGAATCCAGAAGGCTAAGGCAGTGAATGGAAATCCCTAAAGTGTGAACACAGTTAATTGCTTCTTTCTTTCTTGCTGCATCAACAGCTGTAAATCCTAACAATACTTGAAAATACATAATGACTTTAAAATGCTTAATTCTAATGAATCAATTTGTTATCTCAAACACACACATATAGTTTCTTCCAGTAGGGCACGACGGATGAGCTTTGGTTCTGGTCTCTGTTACTGCTCTGCACTGTGGGAAGAACTCAGTATGAGTGAAGCCATAAGTGATGCTGGATTAAACCCTCTGATTCTGATAGAAGAGCTGGGCTGTGTTCGCATGCCTGATAATAGCTTTTATCTTCAAAATGTAGACAACACCTCTTCAGCTCCAGCTTCAGAAGAAACCTCAATTGCAAGAGTAAATGTGACTAGACAAGGAAAAAACTTTCTTATGATTCCTCAGTAGGGCCATGACACCAGTCATAGGGTGAGGCAAACCTCCTAACTGGCACACCAGAAATCATAACTAAGAATAAAATCATAAAATCTACTTTTTTTTTTCAATCCCTCTTGCCAGCTGACCACTGCCAAAGTCCTTGGAGGAATGCAGGATAAAAATAAAAAAGCTTATTTGCTTACACATGGACTGTACATGACCATTCTGAGCACTGGCACGCACTTGCTGCGTGACACTTTGCATGGCAGGTGACTTTATATAAAATAGGCATAAAAATGTGCAAACACTGAGGAAGGTTCTGCAAGATGGGCAGCTGAAAAGAATTAGGAAATTGCCAGACGTTGTCCTCTCCTTCTAGCTTTCTGCAAAACCCCATCAGTTTTCCCTAAATAAACCATGCCATCTGTCAGTATTTCCTATGATAGAATCACACATAAGATGAAAATTACTCACTAAAAACTCATCCCGGATGAAGAACTTGGCTCTTGTGACTTTGGGGTCTTCTCCTGCATCTGGTGTTGCTGTTCAATTAAAAACAAATGATATCAAAAACATGAAAAGCAAACAATCATCCACTTTTTGTAACAAAAGGGTTAATAAGGAGGAAGTACCCTTTCAGTACAGAAATTGAAACGGTAAATATCTATAGGAGATTCCCAGTAGGTAATTCTAAAATGGAAGGGTACAGTAAAACCTGACTATGCATACGAAATATTTTAGGAACCTGAAAATTCCTGAAATTGTTGCAACAATGTCATTGGTCATATCACAAAAAGGCTTACTCACATCCACAAGTTTGTTCATATAGATATAAAACAAGTGGGAGTTAGGGTTCAGCTTTTATCAAAAAAAGCAGCTGAGCTGTTCAGTTTCTGCAGCAGAACAGCATCTCCTGAAAAAAGCTTCTGCAAGGCAGGATTTTGGCTTTAAAAATGGTTAGTCCAAGATTACATTTGGAAAAAATGATAGCATCAAAAGATCTTTTGATATATATGTATTTTATTTCCAGGCCCCTAGTCAGCAGAATACTTAAGATGCACTGTCCATCAAGTGGCCTTAGACTAAATTCTTGTTGAGCAGGGGACTCGTTACTTGTTGATCAGTACTGTTTGTTGGCAGATGAAGTCATCACTATCCAGGCCATGCAACAACTATATTTACTTAAGTGTAAAAAACAATATGTTGAAGAGATAACCTATTCATTTCCTGTCAGTATGATCCCTCCTCATCTAAGACACCAAATCAGATGCTTATAAACATAATATGGTAAAGGCCAGAATTTATCAGAACACGGAAACATATCTTTTATCTACAGCACTACGGGTAAAAATAAGAGCAGCAGCACAATCAACAGCATCTTGGAATTCTGTGCTGCATGCCCATGATGGCTGAAATTAAAGAATAAATGAATAACTATGGGTTAAAAATAGACAGCTGCTTCATATGTGGATACTTTGGATCACTCTAGATATCCACTGTGAAATCCCTCTCAGAAACACCAAAAGCTACTTTATTCTGACAACTGGCTTAGTATAAAAAAGTGCTGAAAATTCACTCAAACTCTGTTTACATGATGTATGTTTCAGAGAGGGAAATTTGGGTGAGGGAGATAGATTTCTTCCAAAAGCCCTTAGCATTGCAAAACTGGTGCCAGGTTAAATCAGATTTTAGGACAGTTTATTTATCCTCTGCACCTGAAACTTGGAATCACACTCCTGAAATTCCAGACCTGAATGAAAGTTGAAAATAGCTTATTAGCATCTCCACTTCTATAACCTAGGCTGCTGGTGGTAGTTGGTGTAGAATGAAAGCCTTTTGCGAAAGGTGGCTGCAAGCACCACACCAGGGTCATCACTCAGGTCAGGCAGATGCTAGTGGGCAGGAAGTGCAAATTTTACCACATTTGCTAGACACAGACCTAAGACATTTGGGAAGCCCTCTGTCTGGTATAAAACCAGCATAATACTAGAGTTTACTTATGCAATATGTTATTGCAGTGCAGGAATCATTGTAATTCTTGAAATTATAAGAAACCAAACCCGTGTTCATTGCTTCATTGTCACAGCTCTCTTTCTACTTATTGATGTGGTTTTCCTCCATTAAAGTTCCCTTTCCAATCTGCTGGGCTTCCAGTACTTCAAAGAATTTCAAAGGCAGTATTTCAAGTATTTCAGTATTTCAAAGACTGAAATTTACAGTGTTGGAGGATGAAGAATGCCTGCAAAATAAGTCTAATGAATCCCTAACAAAGTTCAGCACCAGGGGATGCCCAGCCAGAAGCATCTGGCAGGGGGAGAGATATGCCCAGCAGCTTTGCCTTCCTGGGACTTGTGGTTGCTCCCAAAGAGGGAGAGGCAGGTGCTCTGGAGCCAGCCCCCCATATTCCTCCCACAGCAGCCAGAATCCCTTCAGACCCTGCCCATGCTGGGGTACGTCTGAGCTACTCTGCCGGCATGCTCCTTGCCTGACCAACAGTTCATGTTAAGGAACGCTGTGTGCTTGTGAATTTGTGTGTGTGAGACAGACAGACAGAGACAGTGAGAGGAACTGTGGGCTGGGCCATGCCAGCAGGTCCAATCCCAGCACGGGGAGAAATCTTACCATCCTCAGGTACAGTATAATGCGCGTATTCAGGAAAGTAATCTTCAATTTTTGATTTCCCTGCCAAGACTTTTTCAGCCAGCATGTCCTGTTTATTCAAGAACAAAATGATAGAAATGGTCCGTAACCACCTGTCAAGAAAAAAACAAATGTTTGTGTTATCTCTGACATGTTAATCAAGGAAAACATATCATGTCATAGAAAATTTACTGTCTATTCCTGTGTGGACAGAGAGTGAAGTAGTGTGGAACATGCTTTAACAGAAAAAAAAGATGACCTAAATGATTGTTTCGATTGGGTTGCACCTGTGCTGGTGACCACATTTGTAGGATCAGTAAATACATTTATAAAAACTGCAGTGGACATTGCTGAAGGGAGCAGTTTTCAATTTTTTTTTCTAAATCATCCTTTAGATATAAAGTTGGGAAAATGATGACATTTTCTAAAAGCTTTACAGTCCGCAAATAGACATTACCCTCTGCTTTGTTTGGTTTTGATGAAGCAAAAAAAAAAGGGCTGGAAAGCTGCCTTCCCTCAGACTGCTCTGTCTTAACTATTGTTCATCAACACAGTTATTCCATCTTTTAGGGTAGCCTGTATGACACCTGGTGAATAAAAAGAAAGTAATCTCTCTTTTCTTCCCCAATTAATCCATCACTGTAACGATGTGCCTTTGGGACTTGCAGTTAACATTCTTCCTCATTCCATCTTCAATCACTTCTCAGTGCAGAGCATCCTCACACATATGTGCTGAAAACTTCATCACCTTATTCTGTGTACTGTTTTTACTTATTCCCTATCAGGAACCTATTTGGCTTGCTATTTGGTTAGGTATCTATGATTTACATGCACTGTGACAGAATGGCAACTTAATGGCAGTTACAGTTAGATTAGACCTGAAATACCATCCCACAAGGCAGAAATACCACGCGCTCTCAGAGGCGAGCCTTATGAGAGCGGCTGCCCACACGGGGATCAAGTGCAGCAGCAGCCGGGGAGGGATTCGAATGCAACACCAACAGCTCCTGCCGCTGTGTTTGAGGAGGAGATCAAATGTTATTCTGAGGATCTCTTAGTCTCGGCCAAGCAGCACAGTGACACCAGGGAGGGGTCTCTCCTGCTTCCCTTGTAGCAGCCAGCCTGGAGGGCTTGCCTTTTCCAAGCTGTCCCCATGCACTGCACCATTTTGGCAGGAGTGGTGAAACATCACGTGCACCATTGCTGTGCCATGGCCCCTGCCAGGGAAGGGTGTGCACCATGGGGGCACACTGTGACCTGGCCCAACTGGGATAGCTTCTGAATAAACAATCTGAGCATACAATAAGGGGAGTCCTGTTTTGCAAGGAGTTTTGAACTGTAGTTAAATTGGGGAGGGTGGGTGGGAAATGAGTTTTGTTTTACCTGTTATTCCAGATACTTTTGAAAAGGTCCAGGGATTCCCGTAGTCTATTTGTGTTATTGTCTTCCCTTATTACCATGTTGTAGCTGCTGCAAGCCACAACGAAGATGATAGCTGTGACATCTGTGCAGAGCACACAAAAGAAAAAAAGAAAAAAAGGAGAGAGGAGAACATCTCTGTTATCCCAGCAAATACTTCTCAGGGCAACACTGCCATTACTCCCTAGTCTGCCAAAAATACCAGAAGAAAATATCTGTAACACTGGACTCCTGTACTAGTGAGATACTATGTGTGAATATGAATAATAAGCTGCTCACACCTCAGAGAGTAAGGCCAAAATAAAAACATGGAATATTTTTACTTACCATTAAAGCATTGGATCCATTTTCTTCTCTCATCTCTCTGGCCACCTACATCAAACATGCTGTTAAAAAGCCATAGGATGTTATATCATTTATGTGCACTAGGAAAACCACACAAAGCATGCAGGATGAGGGTTTAGCTAAAAATCTGACAGCCCCAAGGACAGAGGCAGTAAAATATTGCCTGAAGAGGAGAGAGATCTGCTGATGCTGTGCTGCATGTTAGAGACAGCTGCACAGCTTCACCTGTCCTGCTCTGCCAGGAAAAGACTACTGAACCCATAAAATGAAAAATATACTCTTCAAGGGCACAGAAGTGCATAGGGCATGTAAGACTGGACCTATGTACTGTAAAGAAGGACAGGTTTCAGGGTATTTTGAAGGGTGGTGGGGAGAGTGCATCTCTTTAAGGAGGAGGACATGGGGGCGGCTCTGCCCTATCAGCGCTGCCACCATTCTGGGCAAGAACTGGTGAGTGAAGGCAGCCTGAGGGTGGATGTTTTACAGAGACACAACGTAAAACTTCAACAAACACAGAGCTAGTCTGGAAGATGGGAAAATTCTCACTGAGCTCTTATCCCAAAAGGTATGAGTTTACAATGCTATACCAATGAACCAGTTTGTAAAAGCAGCCACACTCAAGCCCACAATAAAGTATTGCTAATACACATAACTAATATCAGCTCTTTTTGCAAAGTATGAGGTAATTTTACCAGAACCTATGGAAAGAGAGCTAAAAAACCAAACCAACCAAATAAAAAACATCCATTCCCACCATAAGCCTACTATACCAAGAATACATGAGCATAGACATCTGAACGAAGTTGGTAAAAATTAGTATGATATTCATAAATTATTATTAATAGACTTACTGGAAATTTACTTTATCTACTTGAAATCGTGTTTCAAAAATCCCTGATGTCAACACTCTGCATCTTAATAGGTCCTGGAAATGAGAACACAGAAGCTGATTAGTAAGGCTTTTTTCTAACCTAATTTTGCTTTTAAAAGCTTGGAATACTATTTTCCATGAAAAGTCTTAACTGTTTCATTTAATTAAGGTTCAATCAGACTTTTTGGTAAATCTGCATTTGTCCATAATAACACAGTAGATAAACACATGATTCATTGCATTCGGTTTGTGCACACTCAGAAAGAAGGAGACTCGATATATGTTCTCCTTACTGCCCACTGAAACCTGTTCTTGATGGTCATACAACTTGGTATGAGATGCAGATAATGAATTCTGAAGTTACATAGAACTAAGAAAAATTTTATTCACGTTGTAAAGTCAAGCATTCAAATGTTAGAAAACTCCAGGTTTACAGTTGCCCAGGCAACCTTAACTCTGCCCTCTTTTGTATTGAATGAGACAGGAGTCCTATCGAAATAATAGCTTGTGACTGAGTAATTAAAGCTCTATTACAGAGCACAAGGGAACAGAATTTAGGTTGTACAGAAATGCGGTATTTCTTTCTTATTTTTCAAACTAGCAATACTTTACAACTTAACTAACTTTCTTTTAATAATTAAAAGATAGTAATTTCCTCGATTCTCAAAGGAAGTAGGCAAAAGCAATTTATGATGCATATCTCAGGCAACTAGCTCTCCATGTGCCACCGTCACCACCAGCAGCACTTTTAACCTCGACTATGCAGCGCTGCCACTTGGGGAGTCAGTGCAAAACAAAATCGGAGGCTGGAAAAAGTTGCCAGCTGCCTGATGGGGATGAGCCTCTCAGAGCAGCTACAGCTGCCTGCCCTCAGAACACTCCCCTTGCTGGGGAAAGGGAAGAGCTGCTTGGTCCAGCTTAGCTCTCCTTGCCATGCAGCAGCTGTGAAAGCGGGGATGGAAGGAGGCAGCCAGTGGTGCAGAGTACGAGTACAGCTTGCCTTTTTCCCCTATCCATCTACTGCTTGAAGTACTCTGGTAGCTGGCGAATCTTGGCTGCTTTGGCAGCCACATGGACTCAGCTGAAGGTCACTTAATTAATTATTTTAGTTATTTTATATGTTACTGTCATTTTCTGTCACTTGCTGGCATCTATTTGTTCTTGGACTCAGCTGTTACTTTGGATGGTGCAAAAAGAAAGCAAGAGGAAAGAGGAAATTAGGGATTTTTACCAGTTAATTCAGCAAGACAACTGATACAGCATAATGGGATGAAAACAAAAGCAAAAAGAATCCTCCCTTTAGAGCAAAAATTTTCCGCCTGCCAAATAACAATGGACTCTTCTGATCTTTGGAGACACAGGGTATTTCTTCCCAAAGGAAATTATTTGGAAGAATTTCTAGATGATGAATGACTGCTTCAGGTAGAGAAAGGCCTCCCAGGAAGAAACAGGGCAACACTAACATAAATCATGAAAGTCAAAATGAGGCTTTGCTTCACTGACTTCTCTCTCCAGCTGAGTGATATCGATGCTAAAACCATGAGGTTCTAGATGGAGCAAATCCCAGTGCTACAGCTTTGCTCTGAAAATGTCTTGAGGGCTTTAATAATTGATCCTATATTGGGTTGACAATACAAGTTTCACCTTATAATACAACGCATGCTACTTTTTACTGACTTCTGTTTCAGAATACAGTCAGAGTAATTGTACACGCTTGTGGTGATAGACCTAAACCAGGTCTGAAGGAACAGGCTCTGCTCCACATACTTCCTCAGGTGATCTCTGTCAAGTCACTTCTCTGAATTTCAGTCCCTGATTGCACAGTGAGATTTGGCAGTTGTATTTTTTTTAAGGGCATCCATGTATCATACACCTTGCATGGTTAGACCGAATTATCTAGTGCAGGGATTCTCTTCTGCCACCTGTATTTGCAGTTTATGACGTGGCCCACAGTCTTGGCTGAGACTGCTAGATGACAGTGGGGTAGCAGCACTGAAAAATAAAGGAATGTTTGCCGAAGAGACATCCTGCCCAAGGAAATCACACAGCCAGAGCTCAGGGAAAGCAGCCAAAGACGTGCAACATAGTGAAACCCTTTCTTACTTCAAGGCTGAACCACTTTAGCCTTAACATGAATGTATTTGTCATTAGAGCACTCTTATCAAGATGTATCATGGCATCTGGGAAAAAACATGTCTTGTCCTGCAAATAAGGCTTAAATAGAAACTATGCTGCCCATAGGAGATGGGCACAGGCAGGAAAGAAGAAATCTGCATGCCCACAGAGAAGTCCACAAGGTTTGCTGCTGCCACTGGTGCTCTCCCCTGAATTTGGACACCAGATCCACTGCAAGCTTTTGCCTCTGAAGGACCCTTCTGATGGACATGCGAAGTCTCCCCCTGGGATCACCTCCACCATTAAAATAAAGCACTGCTGTTAGCAAAGGCTTGTGAAGGAAACAGTAGGCTTTTACATTTATGCTTTCTGTTCTCTCTTCCATACAATTTGTTTGCAGGACACAGAATGGGAAGCAAGAAGAAATAACAGATGTATCACAGGAATCACCGACCTACATGTAACAACAGTAAAAGACAAGCTTGCACCACCAAAAAGCCTCTTCTTCTTTAATATCCATTACTTAAACTGCTAGACCATATTTTGATATTCTGCTGTATGGCCTATTTCAGCTGCAGCTGGGACTAAAATAAATTACACAGAGCACCCAGATGAATGAGAGTCTTGGTTCAGACCCTATCCCATTAGTTATACTAACCTGATCTGTGGGTGTGTAGTCATCCATGCTGACGCTGTCAATTCTTTCTAAAAAGCTAGAAGAAAAATAAACATGCACTTAGATATGTAAAATACTGTCTAGTAGAAGACTTCTCACTACCTTTTCTAGTTTAGACTCCCACTGTGAAGTAAAACACAACATGAATGGTAAAGTTATGAGCCTTGATGTTTTCCTGTATATTCCTTTAGGCTACATTTTATAAGCCAAATAAACATTTTACCCAGGCTTTGTTTCAATACAGCACTTTTACACTTACCATTATGCAGTACCCACAACCGGGTCCAAAATGCAGTTAAAATGTTATAATTTTGTGAGGTCCAGTAAAAAATACTACGACTAACCATATGCCATAACATAATACGGTTGTTAAAGGAGATTTTGGGGTTTAAAATAGAAAATGCAGTGAAGGGGTGCCTTTATTTAGCATAATGCTAATCAAGTATAATGTTATGTTAATTATGGTCTCAGTAATGTTAGCAGAAATGCTTGTTAGCATATACAAATAGGTTTGGACTGATGTGCTGCCCGCCAAGCAACAACTAAAGCACAAAGTGGAGAGCAAAACTGATCGGAAGTGGATGTTAATGAGTCTGATTCTTTATGTCACAAAAACTCAGTGGGATGCATAAAGTGGAAGAAAAACTTACAACTGCCAGGAAGGGCAAGAGAAAAGAGAAACAGAGCAAAACGGGGGAACTACATTTTATAATTAATTAAAAGATTTTTTTCAAGCTTTAATTCTTTCCTAACACATGTTAGAATGGCAGCATTTAAGGACATAAAAACATGATTTTATATTTATTGCTAAAATAGGCAGGTTCTCCTCTCTCACTTCCACCCATTTCTTAGATCTCATGTGAGCCCAGCTGGCTCATTTTCCCCAGACTTAGACTTCCCTGTATCACTTAGAAGCTTTCTTGGATATCTGCACTGTTATTTGGTATTTGGCAGTGAATATCCCACCGGCCGATGCATCCCACTACAATACTATCAAGATTTCTTTATCGAAAGGCAGGTTTTCCTCAATTTTACTTGAGTGTACACATGGAACACGTCACACTTAATTGTGGTGGGAAAGAAAAAAAACCCCAGTGAACTCTTGACTCAAAATGTGACTCACTGTTAACACAGGTAAAAATACCCCCCTAAAAGCCTGTTTGTAATTCTCATAGCACTTTCTCACGGATATGAACTGAAAGTAAAAGAAAATGCACTGCATATATATTTACTTATACTATTTTTCCTTTTCAAGCCTCCATTGGTACAGACGGGAAACAAAATGCAGCATCTACAGTTAGAATATCCAGCTTTTCTTTCTGGATGATCAAGGTGTGATGGCTAAGCATAGTGTTTAAAAAAAATAAATCTCTCTTCAACACAACACAATGGGTGCCTCAGAACAACACTACATGGAAGGAACTCTAAAGAAAAAGCATCTTTTCACAAAACCTCCTCCCTTGCTAAAAGCCCCATAAACCTATTATAAGGATATAAAAGTACATCTTTATAGTCAACTACAGTCACCATGGGAAAGAAGTTGCATTTAGACTGAACCTTTTGGTCAGATGATTTTCATCACCTTGAGAATACTGATCAAACACAGTTTAACTTCAGTTATCCCCACAGAAAATGCAGACACCAGAGCAGAGCAATGCATTTTTAACTGGTGTACCTATCATTAACAGAACTCTCATCTCATGCTTGCAGCACAGGACATGAAAAAAAGAAGGCAAAAAAAGCCCAAAGAAAAATGCCTTCAACCTGAAACTTCCTAAACACAGAGTAATTTTCCTTAGCATATTTGTACTTCTAAGTTCATTTCAAAGTACTGACTATGCCTGACACAGGGATCTAGTTAAGAGTGTGGACTGAAGTGAGTGTTTGTACACAAATACAACTCCATCACAAACCCTGCAAAGCAGCATAAATTGGTGTTTTTCTTGCAGAAGCAGAGGTAGAGGTATAAATCAGAGACAATACATCTTGTCTCCACAATACCAGGACCACGTTGGCAGAATTTATCCAAAATGATTAAACATGATATTTAGTGCTAACTCACACCTCTCTCACCTATACAACAGATACTTAAGGAAGGTTATTGGTTGTTAGCACTTGCATGTTCCAAACAGGCAAATTATGGTAAGGAACAGAGGAGTGAGAAGTAATGCAGAGTTACATTACAGACAATCCATGGCAGGTTTGGGAAAGATGTAAGTCTCCTAATTAGATGTCCTACCTATCAGCTAAAGTTGTCTTTCACTTAGAAATCATCAATTTCCTCATAGTAAAAGGACCAGGTTCAAATACCATAAACTGCCACACTGTAGGTAAGAGAGAGCTGGCTCTGACAAAAGTCATGTGCTTAAAAAATGTCATTTGGCATAGCAGCTGTAACATTTTATACTTATAAGGTTGCTGTTCACATGTAATCTATATTAAAATAAATCCAGTGACTTACAAGGTTTTACCTGGCAACTGCATCAAGATGGAATGATATCACTATCATCCAATAAATCAACATGCAGTTACTATTAGGATTTGGATAAATTTTGTAGCTTTACAGAAAACTAACCTTTTCAGTGTGTGAGGGACAGGCTTCCTAAGATTTGTTTTGCAACTACATTAAGTGTGCACTGAGATTTCTAATGCTGAACTCTTACCTTTTCAAAAGAAAATCCTTCATATGAACTCCTTACTTGGCTAATTAGCACAGCATCAAAATGTAGTTCTGACCGGCAAACATACATGGTAGGTACAAGTAATGGATTCCAGATGAGATAAGGAGTTAGTACTGCCTCATTTTTAAACACACTAACTTCATTCTCATTACTGTATTAAAATGGGAAAACTGGAATCACTTTTCTAAATTGCTTTCCAAAGAATGTTAATTTCTACTAATCCTAAATGTTTTGAATTATTATATTCTAGTAAACTATAGACTCTTTTATACATATATATATATATATATATATTTACATATCAGCAAGTTTTGAATTTACATGACTAAAATTTCAATTCAAAGAGCTTAAAGCACAAAGATATCTCCCAACTGTGGCAATGCTCATGTCTCCACTCAAGGAATCAGTGTGAGGTAAACACAATCGCAGAAGAATGAACAAAAATGGACACCAAGTATCACTTATTGTCTCTTTTTAGATCCTTTTTTTTTTCAGCTCAGTGATATTTTCACAGAATTATGCCTTTTTACAATCCTGACAGGTCTTCTATTTATGCAGCTTCTATAGAAACCCATACTCAGGATACATGATAATTCTGCAGTGACTGTTTTGCATGCATGTGCAATAAACATCAAACTCATGCATTCAACTCAATGGTGAATAAAACCATAGCATATTATACAATATTTATATTTATATATTTATATTTCTACATCACAGTTGTGGTTTTACTTATAAATGATTCAGTTTGATAATTAGTGTAACATTTAGGTTACAGTAGAGTGTTTTATGTTTCCTTACACAGAACAGCAGAAACTACCTTTTTTAAAAAATAAATTAGGCAAGGTATTGGAAGGAAGGTCTCCACCGCTCTGTTTGGAAATGGAGTGGCTTGGTTTGCCAACAAATTAAACGGACCAATAAAGTTTAAAAAATCATGAGCTACTGACATTATTATATCTATTATTAAGTTGATCTGTAGTTTTATAAATATCTTCAGTGAGTTTCCTAGGAAACTCAGCTGACACTTTGACAAGCAATCTCTAAATTTTACATTATGCAAGCTGTGAACACAAAAGTACAGGTTTTAGATGTGCCTGCCAGTGCATGAGGGAACTATCAATAAGTATTATTCTCTTTAAAAACCACGGCAATTTGAGCAGCAGTAGCAGCTATATAAGAATTTCTGAAAAAAGGATTCATAAATGCACAAATAAAGAGGAGGTAGTCGTACATGAAAATCCTTTTCTCACTGAATAAATCACTACACAGCTTTGTACAGATATTCTGACCCCACAAACAAAATGACAATTAAAAGAAAAATTGTGTCTTGGGAATAATATGATAGACAGAAAACCCATGCTATATTTGAAAATGTATTTTGACATCCAAAGAATTGGAAAGATGAAGTGCTAAACCACAGACCAATGCAACAAACTAGGCATTTTATTAAGCCTTTGTCTACTTCAACTATTTTTTAATGCTCTTGCCCCAACATTTCAATGGCTTTGTATCAAAAAGTTGCCATGAAAAACAAGAAATTGAACCCTTGTCAAAATGCTTGTCTCTTTAAGAGAAAAAGGGAACGTGGCAAATTTTTAAGGCTTTAAGTTCTCAGAATGAAGAATCTCAAAATTATCTTCAAGTAAGTTGCTGGCATCTGCAAACCTTTACAATTCAGATGGATCATTAAGAGCTTTGCAAACTCCTCATCCAGGCTCAAACTCCCATATATATATATATATATATACACACACATATATATATACACACATATATATATATACGCACATACACACATATGAAACCATCCAGGACTAGGACTTTTAATTCTACTCTCCCCGGATTGCAGGAAGTCACAGGTGAGGCAGACATTTCACAAGGAAAACACCTACCCCAAGTCTCTAGGGAGCTGAAAGGCAAAAAATTTCCCCTTTTATTAATAGTTTCTGCTGCAGTTCTCAGGGACAACATCAATATTTGAACATTCCTCTCCTCCTTTTTTTTTTTTTCATAAAATACCTTTTTACTTATTTTTTAATCAGCTAAGGAATTATAATCCAGTTAATTCTTCCTGCAACATTCAAAATAGGAAACTACGGATTTCTGGCTTCAAGAATACCTTAGGCTTCAAGGTTGGGCTTCAAGCAAACTCGCATGATTTTTATATATTTCTTGGTAACATAAAACATAAAGGAAGACATAATGAAAAAAAGCCCCCAGTAATATTCTAACCCCTAAAAGATTCATTTTCCCAAGTTATCTGCTGAAAATATCAGTGGAAATCCCTCAGAAAGCTCGGCAAAATTTAGCAGCTAGGGATTTTCCTGCCAAATTTAAATCACTAATATATTTT